TCCTGGTCATGTGGCCAGCATGACTAAGCCGCTTCTGGCGAACCACAGCAGCGCACGGAAACGCCGTTTACCTTCCCGCCAGAGCGGTACCTATTTATCTACTTGCACCATCGACGTGCTTTCAAACTGCTAGGTTGGCAGGAGGAAAATTACTAAGCCAGCTCTAAATGTAGTTTTGCTTTTCAGCAGAACAAGAGGCCTAAGAATCTTATGGGTTCTTGACTATCTCTGACAAACTCCCATACCTCATTTCAGCCCCTACCCCATGGGCTTCACATGGGGTGATTTTGGCAGTGTAAGTACAATCCTATAGGCAGACCGCTCTTTTCACAGGCAAAGTAGCCGTAAAGACCCCTCCTTCAGCTCCTTAGTTGGCAAAACCTTCCTGGGTTTATCTATTGTGTTTTAACTGGATAGCCTCTGAAATGGGTCCATCTCAATTAATTAATTAATTAATTAATTAAACAACAGTATCCTCGTCATCATGCTTTTAAGGTTACAAAATCCTTCAAGGCAGCCTGCAAGTAAAAATAAAAATATTTTTAAACAAAATTACAGTGATGCAATATCAAGACATGGGAACTCAACCAGAAACTTCTCTGCCAGGCAGCTGGTGTCAGCTGGCTTGGGCTTGGAAGGAGGAGAATGTAATGTATGCAGTTTGCGGGTCCTTATTGAGATAGGAAGTGTGCTTAGGAAGCTTGTGCAATTAATGGCTTTTTAATAGTTAGCTTTAATGAAGAACTTAGTTGGGCTGCAGAAAAGAAGCCTTGGGTTGGGGGAGGGGCTCTTGCTATTGTGCAGTATTTTAGGATTTATAAAAAGCATCGCTGCTAAAAGGGATAGGCATTATGAATATTTAAGGGCCAAGCGAAGGCCAAATATTTCCCTGGCTGTTACCCTTCACTTAGATTACTATATATCTATATGAATATTTATTAGGCTGCGGTTGTATTAGCATCAAACATAGCAACATTGCACTTTAGGCTGTGTCAGCGCTTCTTTTCAACTCCATCTGGCAATGAATAACAACCCTTTAAAGTTGGAACGTATCATTGAATATTTCAGTCAAGAGAGGCGCCCTCTTCGCAAAATTACATTGTTTCTCTTTTACAAAAAATCCTTAGAGACTCAGTATCAGACCAAGAGCCTAACCTAACAAAAACACCAAAATGATAAAAACAGCTTCAGATGTGGAAACTATGGGCATCACTATAGTTTTCTGCCTCAGAAATGTTGCTCTTCTATTGCTGTTTGGAACCTGTACTGAATGATCCAAAAGTACAAAGTGTTACATATCGGAGCCAGCTCCCTTCATCGTCCCCCATAAAATATTTGAAGACCCCCCAAGTTGATAGGTATTACCATTCAAATAGTGTGGGTGCACCCTGTCATGTGACTAGTTATGGGGGGCGGGGCTTACCTTGGCCCCTCAATATTTTATTCACGTTGGCACCCCTGGTAGTGCTAAACTGTACCACTAGGAACATACTAAGGAGGAGACTATGGGTCTATCCATACCTTGGCTTAATGTGGATTGTGAAAACCCCTTTGGGCCTCCTTTAATTCCCTCTTGTCGATGAGGCATTCTCCTCCAATGCTGCTGTCTCACACTTCCCATCTAGGCAACTAAGGAGCATTTATCAGAGTTCAAAGACATCCGGTAAAATGGATGCAGGGCTGGTGAGGGGTGTGGCACGGGAAGGGATGTGGTATAGAGAGAATTATGGGGATCAGCAAAAGAGGTCTAGAGGGCCGCATTTGACCCCCAAGGCCTGAGATTCCCTATCCCTGGGATACATCATCACCAGCTCTGATCCAAGACTGTGCAACAGCTAGGTGCGCACACACTTAGCTCTAGAAGGAAACTAGAATTGTAGTGAGCAGAAATACTGCTGGAAGGGGAAAGGAGGAGGGAATAAATCTACCCCTTCCAAACAGCTGACTACTGGGATTCCAGTTTCTTTTAAAGGAATACATATGTGCAGCCTCAGCAGCTGGATATATTCTGGTACAGATTTCAGCAGCCAGGCTGCTTACCAGGGCAGGGCAGTCTGAACATGTAACATTGATTCTGGTACTGCAGGACGGGTTACTTAGTAGTTTCTGAGCACAATTCAAAGTGCTGGTTTTGACATATATAACCTTATGCATCTCAAGACCTCTCCCCACATGAAGCAACCCATGCCCTGAATTCTTCATCCGAGGGAGGTGTAGAGGATGGTGAAACAAGAAGGGGCTTCTGAGTGGTGGCTCGCCACTTATGGAATGCTCTCCCCAGGAAGGAATGCCTAGTACCACCACAATCTGTTTTCATGTGCCAGGCAAAAACATTCTTATTCAATCAGGTCTTTGGATCTAATTTTCTGCTTATTTTATTAGCAAGGTTGGGGGAATTGGATATATGTATCTGGTGTATTTCAAGTTGTTTGAATTTTGTTTGTAATACTTATTTCCAATGCTCCGTTTTGTAAGTCACTTCGAGCTTCTTTTTCTTTAAAGTAACTAATAAATATAAACAACAACAACACAACAACAAAATATTTGTCTGTGTAGTTAGGCATATGCACACGGAAGCCTACTTTTAGGCACGTAAGTCCCCATAACTGGATTGACATGGCCATGATTTCCTTTTTGCACCTTCTTCGAAATGAATAAAGGTCAAGCCACGATGCCAATGCCCAGCAAAATCCTCACCACAGTTGATGGGATCTATGCAAGCACATACATGGTATGACATTTCAATTGACCTTGCACACAACACCCTCCTGCGGATTAAGTCATTATTCTTTCTGAATGCTTGAGGCTGTCAACTCCACTAAATAGAAAACCATCTTTTAATTTTCAAGTGCAAACTCCCTTTTGTGATTCCTAAAAAAACAGCTGTCAATTTGGCACAATTATTTTAAAGAAATTTGCCAAAGCAAAGAGTGGTGCTTTTGTTGTGGTGGTTGTTTTAAAAGGCATTGAGAGGAGTAGAGCACAAATTCTACCTCCCTCTTTCATTCTCTATGTTATATTATTATTCATAATATTCTGCTAAAACCCCTAATATAGTCTTCATAATAATATATAATCAATCTACTGTTTATTGTCATTAGAGTAAAAAATTGCAATCTGAGTTTTCAAGACACAGCAAATATTAGTGAAACATCATTTAGCCTTTTATCTAAGTGCCTTAGGCATAAAAAACAATCCATCACTTTAAATCAATATTCTATTCAGTCTGGCAAGTTCCACTGTCTGTAATGTCAGGTTGTTCCCATCGTCTTTGTTCTATGTGTGTTTTTCAACACTTTATTCACTGTGCATAGTGGCAATCAGTGCAATATCGAAAGAATTATGAATAAAAATACATTTTCAAACTACAGAGATAGGCATATTATGTTTGACAAATAAATTGTTAGGTATATACACTTGCTTTCAGTACTTTTCAATGCAATTAAATATGCTCACCTAGAAATATCTAATTACATTGGATCTTCCTCCCACTTAAATCAATAGAATATGTTCAATCATGGAATGATTAAGCATCTAACTCTTAGCTTAGAGAGCTAGCACTAACTTCCAAAACCCAGTGGAAAGGAGAGTCAACCTATAATAATCCACCACATGGGGAAGCTCAACAGCATCCAAAGTCTTGTGCAAGACTGGTCATAGGTCAAGTTCTGATGACCCACTTGGAAGTAGTCCTGCGCAGAAAGTTCATTTTTAATATTCACCATGCTTATGCAAATAGTTGCTAATAAATGACACCTATTGTGCTGGTTCTGGGTGTCAGGTCAGGTGTTCTTTCTCAGTAAATTTATATCTCAGCTGGAGATGTCCTAACCAGGGGATAGCACTGGATGGCATATGAGCCCCCCTCTAACTCTATGAACCTGCACATTTCTGTTTTGTGAGGTGTCACTCCTGACACAGATTGCTTACCCCTGGCCCCACCTTCGATCTTACCTTAGTTTTGCAGTTGCTGCCACAGCCAGAAATTGCATAGGCACTAGTCTATATAGGAAGCCATTCATATGAAGAAACCAAGGATGGATTTATCCGTTTCAATCACACAAACACCTCCCAAAAAGAGATTTGATCACAAAATAGTACAGTATTGATGAAAATTGTACCTCTGTCTTAGACATGGGCTTTCCAAGTACTGTAAGTGCCACCATTTCCGCAGTTGTATTGTCCACTAATCTCTTTCTCAAGTGAATGCACTTTTGCCACTATTTTATCTGCATCTCGAATCATCTCAGCCCCAGCTCACACATCCCAATGAAGTGCCTTCACTCACCTACTCATATTTCATAGTGCCTTGGGCACAATCAACTACTTGCCTATTTCCTCCCTCATTATCTGTGTAGGAATGCATTTAGGCACTAGGAAAGGATATATTGTTTACTTATTATCCTTCCTTACTCATATGGGGGAGCTCAGCAGAGTACCATCTTTTGCAGCTTTAAACTTGGAAGCTAAGATAAGGTTGATCTAACCTTCTAGAAACAATAAACCAGGATGCATAAAGGACAACTGGATTTTCTCTGGTATCACCCCTTTTCTCCCCCTTAAAGATAACAATACACAGACATTGTTTGGTAAAGAAGTACAAGTAGTATTTACTTGCATAACCTAGGTCTTGAAGCAGCAGTTACAGTAGCAAAATGTAGGCGGGTTTATGACTACTATCTAAGTTACAATGGGATGCGGGTGGCGCTGTGGGTTAAACCACAGTGCCTAGGACTTGCCAATGAAAAGGTCAGCGGATCAAATCCCTGTGAGCTCTTGTTGCTCGGTCCCTGCTCCTGCCAACCTAGCAGTTCAAAAGCACATCAAAGTGCAAGTAAATAGGTACCGCTCCGGCAGGAAGGTAAACAGCGTTTCTGTGTGCTGCTCTGGCTCGCCAGAAGTGGCTTAGTCATGCTGGCCACATGACCCAGAAGCTGTAGACCGAACTCCCTCGGCCAATAAAGTGAGATGAGCGCCGCAACGCCAGAGTCAGCCACGACTGGACCTAATGGTCAGGGGTTCCTTTACCTTTACCTAAGTTAAAAAGGTAAAGGTAAAGGGACCCCTGACCATTAGGTCCAGTCGTGACTGATAAGATTTCATAAGTATAAAATCTAAGTTCAAAATGGTGTCTGAGCTGCAGAGCTCAGGCATGCACATGTGGTCAGCTTAGAAGCATGATAAAGAAAGAGATGCCTAGGAAGGAAGGCCGTATGCAGTGTTACAGCTTCCTGCCAAGGCAGACAAAGGAAGTGATCTCAGTTATCACTAGCAAATTTTACAGGAAAGCTCTGTGAGACTCATATAGAGTTAGCTTGGCTGCAATCATTCATGGTAAACTCACAACTGGAATATGCTCTATCTGGGATGCAAATGAGCTCAATTTTCTCGGCATATTTGCATGTGCAGTGAAGATGATCACCTCAGAAGCTGTGGAATGGAAGAAAACTTTGGTCAAGAGGCACCAGCTCACGATGAAAATAGGCCTGAATGCCTGTCTTAAGGGCAGAAATGTTTTTCTGTCTGGGGCAGAAATGCTGACAAGGTCTTAATCAAGCTAAGAAAATGCACCAGTGTGAAGATGGTACAATATTTGCTAATCCGTGTGATTAGCAGTACTGGGTGACCTTTGTGAGTTTCCCTGTATCCTAATTAAGCTTTGAGGGAAATGCTTCAGCAGGTGTTTGTCTTGTAATCTGTTGTTTACCAACATAGAAACCAATTTTAGTTGCTAGCAATGGGGGAACTGAAAAAGAACCAGTGTGCAAGAAAAGGTTCCTGGAGTGTTGAGAAACAAAGATAATGTGTACAACAGAGGCAAATGTAGGAAGTTTACAACCCATGAGTGGTGATCCTTCTTTTTCAAATAGATAAGTTGTTTTCTCGCTTCTCCAAAATGGTGCCAAAATCACCCATAAGAAACAGTACTGGATACTTTTATCTTATAAAGTGTCCTTTTCTCCTTTTAACGCACCACTTGTAGTATATGTTATAGGACCAATTTCAACGTTAAAGAAAAGCATTTCCTACTGCTGTGAAGCCACTGTAACATATTCATAAACACAACGGTTCTGTGCAGAAAGACTAAAATGTGACAAAATGTCTCCTGTTGTAATGCTTGTCATTGTCCATGAATCCACTGGATAAGTGCAGTTGTTCCAACTTGCCTAAAACCCATTGAAAAATGTAAATGGCCAACGGAGCTTAAATAGTTGAATGTGACATTAGCTTTCATTTTCAATCATTTGTATTGCAGCTTGAAAAACAGCACAGAGAAGAAACTACATGGCATTAAAAACAGTATGCTTCATTTTGCATTCCAGTTTGCTTTGTATTTTATATATATATATCTAAAAGAGCTGTCTAAAATTATGATCTGCCATACCACTCGTACATTAGATGTTGTCATGGGACACAGACTCAGAGCTATTTATGGCTCTCCTTAGGTTTTACAGGGGGAGGGGAGAAAGACCATTTACAATTATATCATTTGAATGCAGGAGAATTTTATTTCACCAGGAGGCAGTTGTGTGCTTCAGCCTTTGTGCATCTGGATCAAGAAGCACAGAACATTCATGTATACCTAAGGGTGGGTAACCTACAGGTTATAGTGGGGGTGGGGAAGCTTCTGATGTTGTGTGTAGTGGAAAAAGCTATACCCTTTTTATTAACTTTACTGCGGTAAAGGACATTCCCATAAGTGATGGGTGCTGCACCTATCACAGGTTTCACATAGCCTTTTATACTCATTTACATACAGCTTACATAATGCTAAGTACATCACTAGTTTACTGCAGTTACTAGTTAATAAAGGATATTGTCTTGCTGGAATCCTTGGTTTTGTTTTTTTATTGAATTCCCCACGTGGAACAAACCTGAGGAGTCATTTTAGCTACTCCCTTGACAATAGGATGCTATGTAAACATACTGCATGGCAGGCAGGATGAATGCAGGAAGAATATTCTGTGTTTATATCAGCATCCCATAAACAAATCAGAACAAATGCCCAGTAAAACTGGGCATAGTCCAACCACCAGGTAAACTTTGTGCAACCATATCAGGATGAATTCTCAATAAACAGGCCATCTGGAGGAGCTCAAATAACTCATTCAAATCTTGTTGGGAGCAAGCAAGGAGCTAAGACTATCTTCTACTGGATCAGTGACAGAGGGTGCATTTGGACGTGAGGATTATTGGGTTAGTTTTCCTGATTATAATCCTGGATTCTAACATTTCTTTTACACTGCATTATTACCTCTTGGATTCTAGATCTGTGGCTTTCTGGTGGATATACTGTCATGTTGTGCTGAATTTGAAAATCCAGGAAAGAACAGTATAGCAGGATAACGCCCCAGATTTCATCGTGTGACATTACAACGCAAAACTCTTGTCCTTTTCTGGGTTAACAGGGCTGTGAATGGATTTCCCCCCCAGAAGCAGATAACACAGAAATGAACGCTAAACTTCTGCTAGACTCTACTAGTTTTCCAGAAGTGGCATTTATGTCGTGTGAAGGATCACATAAAACATGGAAATGATCAGGCAAGGAAACACTGGGCAAATGGATTAAACTGTTTTCTCAATACAGTGGTACCTCAGGTTAAGTACTTAATTCGTTCCGGAGGTCCGTTCTTAACCTGAAACTGTTCTTAACCTGAAGCACCACTTTAGCTAATGGGGCCTCCTGCTGCCATCGCGCTGCCGGAGCACGATTTCTGTTCTCATCCTGAAGCAAAGTGCTTAACTTGAAGCACTATTTCTGGGTTAGCGGAGTCTGTAACCTGAGGCGTATGTAACCTGAAGCGTATGTAACCCGAGGTACCACTGTACAGCCAAAGCCTCCACCCCCCAATATGCACATTTTAAACGTTTTGCCATTCTGATGGGACCTTTTCTAGTAACAGGCAGCCCCTTATTTACTTTGGTTCTATTACAAATCATTATGAGATCTTAAATGAGAATAGCCATCATTAGTGTTAACGAGAATGTTCCAGAGCATTGGACATTTGATTTGTCAATTTACTGCAGGGATTGGGAACATGTGGCTCTTTGGATACTGCATGTCGACAACGTCCATCGTACCTGAAACCCCTGGGCATGCTGCTTGGGACTGATGGGAGTAGAGGCTCACAGGTTCCCCAGTTCTGATTTTCAGGGGCTCAAACCACAGTCAATAGTTCTTTTTTTCCAGTGAAAATAACTCCCACAGCCTTTCACAGACGTAAAGTGACATATATGCTGCTGACACTTTAAACTGTTTATACTATAAGCACAAATTCACATAAAATTACGGTGCCCTTCAGATATATCATGCAGCAATTTAGACTCTAAACTAGATGCCTTTTACGTGTTTCACAAAAATACAGTGCTCACTTTTGTCTCAGGGAGGTTTGGGGGCTTCTCGGTGATTTTAGAAAGTATGTAGTCAATGGGTGGGTAGTCCATCAATGCTAATTGCCTCAGTGTGAAGAAAAGTGAAAATCAACCATCCTGCCGAGTAAACCCAGGAATGTATTCCCACCCACCCAACAGATGTGTTGATGCAATATAGAACAAGAAACTCATCAAAGAGCTCATTTATGTTCCCCCATACCTTAACAGCACACATTAATAAATAAGGTCTCTCAAATTAAACGTGGTTCTCTGTGGTTCATGGTCATGTGCTCAAGTCACTCTTGCTTAAAATGTGGGTTTAAAAAGATGCAATTAAGATGCGGCTCACCGCTATCCTCACTCTGAATACTTTTCGTCCAATATCCGTGCACAATGTTATTTCAATTTACCAAATACGTGTATTGGTATTTTCAATTCACCAAATACATTATTCACCTTTCTCATTAGTTATAACTGCGACTTATTGGCATTTCCCAGCCCATATAGTCATCTGTTTCATCAGATGTTGGAACGCCCCAGTAACAATAAATGAGACACTCAACAGCCCACATTGGCAGAAGCACTGATGGTCTAAATGGCCCCCACCAAGGTTATTTTCTATCTTCTTTTTTGAATTAAAATTTTGTAATTATTTTTATTTAGACCATGGAATACTTTGCGCGTCGAGGTCCCCAAGACATCCCCCCCCCCAAGAAAAACACAATTGACACTTAATTTTTGTTTAAGGTTTTTGGCATAATTTTGGCCACAACTTTATTCAAATACAGCAATGTGAGTGGTTGCTTAGGCATTGCTAGCACTAACTGCCCCCGCACGGGGACAGCTCTGACATTCGCACCCCCCGCGAAGTCAGGAAGGGTAAGTCACCTGGGGAGAGAGACGGGACTGGGAACCATGCCTCACCTCTCCCCAGCATGCTCCCAGGGGCTTGCGTGGCCCTAGCCCCTTGCCAGGGGGTTTCGGACAAAAGCATGGGGGAGCCCCTGGGTTCCTTTAACGGTAAAACCCTTCAGCAGCAGCATTTTGGAGGGGCAGGCACAGCCGAATCCATACCCCTCCACCAGCAGCAGCATTTTGGGGGGCAGGCACAGCCAAATCCATACCCCCCAGCAACCAATTCCAGACCAATGCCTAACCGCCAACTGAGCACTGAAGCTCACCGCCAAACCACTCACAAATGCAACCCTTCCTTCAATCCCAAAGCAACCGCATCCAGCCAGGTGTCGTTCCCCATAGGGGAAAGATGCACCCCATCTGCCCTAAAGAGGGCAACAGCCTTGAAGGAAATAGCAGGGTGCAATATCACAGAACCACTGTTATTTTATTTTATTTATATATATTTTATTTATTTATTTATTTATTTATTATTTTATTTATTGTATTTTATTTTATTTTCCCCCGCCTTATTAACATGCTTTCTGGCCTGCTCGGTGGTAGTTTGTCTAGGCATTGGTTCTGACTATCAGCAGGGCAGCACTGACGACTGGGCCCCACCATATCGTCAGTACAAGCAAACATCGTGGGGGAGCAATGAACCAGGATCAGACTCAAGCGCACCCCAAATGCTCCAGGGACCCTTGCGTGGCCCTACCCCTCCAAAGGGGTCGACAAAAGCATGGCGAATCCTTGGATTCCTTTAAAGGATTACCTTTGTGCATTGGAGGGGACAGGTGCTCCGACCCCCCCT